AGGGATTATCAGGCATCCCCTCCGCCCTGGCACTGCCTCCCTGCTCTGCCTTGATCTGCATAACCTCGTTAGTGTGATGGGGAGAGGGGAACAGCCACACCATAGGAGCTGGATCTATCCTTCCCTGGGATGAGGCTGCCTGCAGCATCCATGCCTTGGGACAGGGATCCTGATGGATCTGGTGTGTTTGGATGCGGTTTTGGTGCTGCTGATGGTGTGAGTTGTGCTAGGGCAAGTTTGTCCCCAAAGCCAGGGCAGGGGGGTGACTGGATCCTTCCCACCACTGTGGATCCAGTCTGCTAAAAGTGGGAAATTTATCCTGAAAATTAAGAATATCCTGCCTGAGCCCCGAAGGGAAATGCAGCATGGGATGAGGTTTATAAAGGAAATGAATGGGAAATTAACATAAAATTAGTGACTTCAATTGTTGGATGCTGCTCTTACTACACAGGGGGCTGTAGGACATGCAGCACCTGGCTCCAGGTGTTTCCATATCTCCTGGGAGTTGGGAATTAGCTGCTTCCCCAGGGAGCAATGCCACATTCTTGGCCCGCACCATGTCCTGTGGGCAAGCCCAGGGCTACTCCCAGCCCAAATCCACATGTTTTTTTCCCCTAAAACCAGTGCACAATCCATAACCATGGCAGATGCTGGAGCAGGGATGCTCCTCACTAATTTTGGTGGCTAGATTTTGCAAGCCCATCTATTATTTCTGCAAACAGCTTTCCAAAAAAACCACAGTGACTTGGTACTTAACCTGGGGTTAAATCATCACTATAATGACAGCTTGGGAATCCCAAGTTTCCCAAATGTTTGAGTTCATCCTTGTAGTTGTTTACTTATTTAATAAAAGAACCTGTTTTCCATACAAATACCCTGGTATGTGCTGAAGATCATTACATGGAGTGGGAAGGATCCCAGGGTTTTCCACTGAGCAGTCACTTCCCAGTGTCATTTCCTGATCCCTGCTATTGAATTTGGAATTGTCGAAGTGGTCAGGAGCAGAGGGGTTGCAGGGCTGGGGCTTGAGCGACTGAGATGGGAGTGTGGTGCTCTGAGCCTCTTGGATGGGAAATGTCCCAAAGATGTTCTCTGGAGGATTCCCACTTTAATTTGTCCCTGAAAAGACCAAATGGGTCTTTAGGGGAAAAAAAACCGTGTCTGTGTGTAAAAAGCAGCTGGAAGAGCATAATGTCCACATGTGGATCCCTGTTGGATCACATCCAGAAAATGCTCTGTTATTCCAAATTGAATGAGAAATTATTAGTGCCACTGATGAGTTGGTCCCTGTGTGGGATCTGTCTGTGGGATCTCCCTCCATCCCCCCCAGCAAGGGCTGCTTCTCCATCACCTCCTGTACCCCATGACCCCTCAGCTCCCACTCCCCCCAGTCCTCGAGGCTGTTTTGGGGGGACAGGGAAGCAGGGAAGGGGTTGGTTCCTGCTTCCCATTGGGCTCCAGGTGCTCCATCCCAGCATCCACCAGACACCAGCATTGCTGCTCCATCCCCTCCTGCTGCTGGTTCTCCCCATGCTGGCAGGGTTTGGGGTGAGGATGGGGAGAAAAAAAGGGAAAAATGCACTGAGTTTTTGCAGCTGGACCCTGTAACCTCCCAGATTTTGAAGAAGCCAGGAAATAACGATAAATCCCCAGGGAATATAAGTGATTCCTGTTCCCGTGTCACCCACTGATCACAGCAAACAGATCACAAAGAGAACATTAAAAATGTATATATATATATAAACAGGACAAAAATATTCCTCCTAAAACTTCAGCAGCTCAAGCCCCTTCAGCCAAGTTTTTTCTTCCCTTTTTGGCAGAGTGGCAAAGAAAAGCAGCTCAATATTATCCCAGTTCCTCTGATATTGCCTAAATCCTGCAGGAGCAGGAATCTCACAGGGTGCTGGAGATGTATCCTGTCAGCTTTCCTTTTTTTTTTTTTTTTTGCAGTGCTGGTTATTTTGTTCATGGAGGGGAGGAGGCTCAGGTTGCCATGTTGGTGAGGGGAAGGTCCAATATATTAAACTGAGGATCCTTGGATGCATCCCAGTGACCCTGGTCCCCCTGGGCCGCTCAGATGGAGATGTCCTTAGCTATGAATTAATGAAGTCCTCTATGAATTAACGAAGTGCTCTTGATTAGTGACAGCAGGAGGTTAATGACCAGCTCCAGGGGGACGTGCACAAACTGGAATTAACATCCAGGGAAGGGGCTCAGTGGGGGCTGCAGCTCCAGGGCTGGTGTCCCAGCTCTGTGCTGGCCTGAGTGTGACCACCCAGCCCCTTTGGGGGCTGAAATTGGTGAAATTGGTAATTAGGGGTGCAGAGGGTTTAGTATCTCAGAGTTTAGGGGTGAGTGGGATGCAGAGCCACCACCGACCCCGTTAAAGCTGCAGTTAAGGCAGCTGTGGGGATCATGAGCTTAGGGTAGGTCAGGGCCTGTGGGGGAAGAGCAGCAGGTTTTGGAGCTGGGACACCAACCCCCATCCCAGGACCCTCATCCCAAGCCCTGGGACTCAAACCTTCAGCCCAGGACCCTCATCCTCATCCCAGGACCGCAATCTCCAGTGCCCCCATCCCCAGCCCTGGGACATCCCAGGAACCCCCTGACCCTCAGCCCAGAACCCCCCATTCACAACCCTGTGACCCCCCCCTGTTCCCCAGCCATCCCACCCCTCCCTACCCCATGATCCCATGGTGCTGAGGAGCTCAGCACACCCAGACCCCGATGCTTTTGCAGCCCACCAGGAGCCTGGGCAGGACCAGTCCTCACGGAGCACATCCCAAACCTACCTCATACCTTTCCATGTCCTCTTCCCACCCCTCCAAACCTAGGGCTGGGTCTCATTCCATGTGAGAAATGATGGGAATACTCCAATCCCATTTCTGTGGAGCACATTACCGGCCTTAATGACGGCTCTTTTTCACTTGGCTGTCACGGCCCTGAAATAAAGCCATGCTTTACCTCACCCATAAATCACTCCTTTATTTGGAGCTGGAATTAAATTAAAAAAAAAAAAAAGAAATAAACATGTTACCCTCTCCCTTTCCTCAGAGCCAGGCAGGTTGGAGCCATGTTTAAATAATCTCTGCTGTATTCAGGCAGATTGTCAGCTGTAAATTTGGGGGAAAACAGCAAAGCTGATAAATAAGCATGTTGGGTTCATCAGTGATGGATGTTGCTGCTCTCGGATTTATGACACATTTCCCCATTAAGGGGCTTTTGTGACAGTGCTGCTGGGTGGTGCTGCTGAGGGGGGTGATTTCCCTCTCATTTAAACACAGCAGGAACTTCATGGGATTTAATTTGGGAGGAAGGGGAGCCCCTTCCTTCCGAGCTGCTCTGAGCCCCCCAGCATCACTGGGGTCATTGCCCAGAACCTCCTGAATTCACCCCAGAGGGGCTTCTACTGCCTTTGATGAGGGAGGGACCCCCAACCTGAGCTGCTCTGGTCATCATCTCCAGAATCATCTCTTGTACCACAAGGACCACTGAGCACAAACCCCCTCCCGGGGGCATTGCAGGTGATTCTGGTGCAGCCGCTGTTGCAGGGACCGCTGAGCACAAAACCCACACAGAACTGGGGGAAATGCAGGCGGTTTTGGTGCAGCCGCCGTTGCCACAGCAACCGCTGAGAAACCCATCCAGCCCAGGAGGGAGGATGCTGCAGCCTCCGCCAGCGCAGGACCGGGAGGGAGGGAAACACTCCCAGGGATGAGAGATTGATGGAAATAGATGATTTTCAGTGCAGGAATCCAGGGAGGGGGGTCAGGATCCCCCCAACCCCACGTGGGGCCGGGCGAGATGGCTGTGCCCACCCAGGGATTGCTCAGGGCTCGCTGGGGCTGAGTCAAGCAGAAAGATTCCCTGCTTTTCCAGTCCTCATGGAAAGGCTGAGTGTTGCCTACCCCGGGCTAATGGCATTACAGAGGCAGCCGAGCAGGGAGGCTATTAAATGTCAAGAGCTTTGCACAGGAAAATGATGCAGGAAGGATGGTTGGCTCCTCTTTCCAGGGGGAATGGAGATTTTATTAGTGCGTGCCAGTCCCACGTGGTAAAAATATAACCCGGCATTTAATAAATAAATAAAAATAAATGAGAGCATGAAGCTTCAGCTCTGTGCGTGCAGGGACAGCAGCTCCTGGCAGGAGGGAGAAGCTGCTCCTGCGTCAGTGGAATGGAAGGGAAGGAGGGACCCCCCCCTAATCCAGAGGTGCATCCAGATGTGCAGCACACGCTGACAGGGACCTAATGACTTCCAAGTGCTCCATTTCAGTGCAAATTAAATTTAAAAAAAAGCAATTGCGGCGCAATAAAGGCAGAGGAGGGAAAAATAAAAGAGGGAAATTGAATCTGCTGGTGCTCAGGGAGCTCCATCAATCCTTTTGCCGTGGGTTGGGAAGGGGTTTGTGGGGGCGGTGGGGCAGATGTGGGGTCCCCCTCCCCACGCCCCTCCTTCTCCTGACAAGCTGCAGCCCAGGCTCTGAGCGCGTTGGCTGCACGCAATGTCAGCTCTTAATTGTTTTATCTCCGAGATTAATTGGCTTTTGGGGTTTAATTATTTCCGAGGGGCGGAAGGGAACGCTGCCCCTTTGGCAGCCACGGCCTGTCAGAACAAATCACGCCTGATGTGTGTCTTCATCACTGCACACCCAGTGCTGCTATAAAAAAAGGGATTTCACCAACTCCTGATCAGAAATAAGGAATAAATTGCACCGAACCTGCTCTTGCTCCAGCGCTGAGGAAGGTTGGGAGGCACCAGGAATAAAGTCTGCAGTGAATCTCCCCATGGACCCCAACAAACCTGTGCTGAAGGACACTCTAAAGGTACTAAAGCTCCCAAGAAGGAGCCCCTTTGGTTGTGTTGTCAGTGGTTTAAATACAGAAATCACATTGTTGGGATTAAAGGTGGGGGAGAGGAGCCATATCCTGTGGGACACCCTGTTCTGGGATGGGTGGGGGGTGCTCAGGTGGCCCCACAAACACACGGGGAGGCAGAATAGCAACAAAGTCTCTCCTTTAATAGCTGGATTGACCTGAGGATTTGTTCTGACCGAGGTAAACGGCCCCAGGGCTGCCGTGAGTGAAGGAGCGTGGGCTCAGCTCCATTCCCAAAAAGCCTCCAGCCATTTGTCAAGGGAAGAGTTAAAACCAGGGCAGCTGCTCCCTCTGAACACATTCACCCACCTCCGTGCAAAAGAAACAGGGAGCAGGAGCCTCCCAGCCCGTGTTTGCTCCTCAAGCACATTAGAAAAATATATTTTTATTTAAATTCTCCTTTTTCTCCATGGAATTTTCTTCTCTCTTTAAATATAGATCGAGTGGTGTGTCTCGATTTGACCTGTGCCTGTGTTTCTATCAAGATCAAGAGTTAAAAGCCAATTGTTCAACATCTAATCTAGAAAAGGCTGCGTACAATATATGGCTTTTGCACCTACATCCAAAGGGAACTCACAGGTTGGGAATATTGGGGGAGCTTGTTTGGGGCAAAGCCAGGACAGGGGCAGGCTGGGAGGGCAGCGTGGGATGAGGGGATGGCTGGGGATCACATGCAGCTCTGCACAAAGCCAGCCTGGAAACGGCACCTTCCTGTGCCCACAGGATCCTTTGGTTTGGGTTGGGGCTCAGGGGGGCTCAGCCCCCCCAAAGCTCAGCCCCAGGGTTTGCTCCCCACTGCAGCTCCTGGCCCCCAAAACTGCTGCTGGGGGGCTGTTCTGGCTTATGAGCTCCTGAAATGAGGCACAGATGAGCTCCTGGGTTGCAAAAGCTCTTCTGTCTAGGGCCAACGTCCCCCTCTTGAGCATCATCCCCGTGGAGGGGGGAGATCCCACCTGTAGCCACCCAGGTGGGGGTCATGGACTCCTCCAGGGCTGGACCAGCAATGTTGCCTGGTGCTAGGGCAGCACTGGGGAATGCAGCCTTGCTCCAGGGAGCCAAGGGAGCCAAGGGCTGGCTCATGGGGGCACAGCCACCTTGTTTGGGGACATTACTCTCCCCAGCACAGCCTTCCTGATTCCCACCTGGAATGATGGGATCCGTGGGAGCAACACCCACACAATACCACCCCTTGGCTTAAGGCTGATGGATTCCATCCAGGGACAAGCAGATGCCTCCCAGGGCTGGCCATGGAGTGAGGGGAGTTTGGGGATACCCACCCCTCGGAGCTCAGCTCCAGCGGCACCGGGTCCATCAGGCACGGCCTGTGTCCCTGAGCCAGCCCAAGGAGACCACAAACAACCCAGGGCACTTCCAAGGACCACAGATAAAACCCATTGCACTTCCAAGGAGGGCTGTGGCAGCTGGAACAGGAGTGGGATGGAGCAGGAACCCTGTGGTGGTGAAGGCACCCGTGTCCCCTCGGCGCTGCCGCCTTGCCGGGGTCTGTGGTGGCCAAACAAGCTCAGCACTGGCTGGGGACCACTCGTCGCTCATGCAGGGAGTTGATCAACAGCTATAGCAGCAGATGGAGAATTAAAAGCAGAGCCACCCACTGGGTGGAATTAGGCAGAGGCCGGGAGCAGGGTCAGGTCCCCCCGCCGTCATCACCATCATCTCGGGTAATAATCGTCTGGGACTCCCGACAGGTTCCGGAGCTTCAGAGCCGTGTCCACTGTTTTGATGTAGCCACTGATCATCTTCCTCATCTCGGGGGTGTAGGGGTCATACTCCAGTTTCCTCAAGCCGGATCGCTTGAAGTTGCCGTCCTTCTGGCCCTCGACGCAGAGCAGCCTGTCCTCGCAGGCAGTGATGCCCAGCAGCCCCACCATCCGCTGCAGCTGCACGAAGAGGTCCCGTTTCAGGTCCTCAAAGTGCACCACCAGCACCTTCTTGCCGTAGCGCAGCCAGTCGAGGGTGTGGGTCGCCCACCACGGCGCGTAGTTGGCCACGAACTCTGGCCACTCTGGAAAGAAGGAGCAGAGGACACAGTGGGTGGGTGGGTGTGCTCTGTGCCCTCCCACACCCCTGCTGAGATCTCTCAGTTATCCTGCTGGCTAATTGATCCTCCCATAGAAACCTGGTGGTAAAAGGGGTAAGGAAACATCAATAATGAGCCACAACTCTCCTGATGGTGCCGCACAGACCCATCCACAACACATAAAAGCTCTGGACATCGGCCTCTTCCTCGTGTCCTTCCCACGAAACCAATGCCTGATTAATTGCTGAGCTGAGTTTAATTCCCCGAGGAATCATTAAACACAGGATCTGTTTCATTAAGCAGATCCAGGACAATTCACCTTGTGTAATCATATCACATAAAACTTTGCTTTGGAACCGCTCCAGGGATATCGTAAAATTAACGTCATGGAACCAAACAGGAGTTTGGCCTCTGAAGGGCTGGGAATGGGGGGGAAGGAAATCCCCCCTCCCTGCACCAGCACCTGGGGGTGAGGCTGGAGAGAGGTCATGGTGCTTTTTTTCCCAAATTTGCCCCCAAACTAGTTCTTGAAAGAAGAAAATTATTTGGAGAGCTGGGCTGCAGGGAAGACTGTGGATGGGACCCTCCTCCTCCATGGCCAAGTCTAGCCAGGCTGAGCCCAGATGGGATCAGCAAAATGGGGCTCACCAACCAAACAATGGAAAATCTCCATCTTTCCCAGCAAGTTCTGACAATTAACCTAGTTATGCTGTACATCCTCCAGAAAGAATTTGGTGATGTATTTTGTTGCACATCCAAATAGGATGGTGCTGGGCAGAGGGAATGGTCCCCTCTGCCTGGCCTGCCCCTCCCCTTGGAGGCATGAGGCATGGGACAAACTGGGGAGGGAGCTGGGATTGGGATGAGTCAGGATGGTCCCTGTGGTGCTGGAGTGATGGTCCCACATCCCCTCTCCAGCTCTATGTGCAGTTGGATAGGGATAAAATCTACCAAGAGGCTCCTGGCCCACCGTGGTGGGGCAATGGCAGTCCAGGGACTTTCGCAGGGAGACAAAGATTGGGGGATGTCACTCCCTCCTGGTTTTATGGAAAGGGGAGAGCAGGGCTGGGCTGTCTCTGGCTCTGTGAGCACATGGAGATAACGAAATCCAGACACAAAACAGCCACAGCAGCAAAAGCTCCCCTTAAATAAACTCAGAATTAAGGGTAGCAGATGTTCAATCAAGCTAAATATTTTAACTCTTTCCAATGAAGTCAATCCCACAACAGCAATTTGTAAATTGCTGTAATTAACCAGCCTGCACAACATGCCTGTGCATGGGAAAGGTGGTGGCTCCGGAGCAGCCGGGCACACGGAAATCCCACCCGGATACCGCCTTGTCCATAGGGATGGGCTTGTGACAGCCACCACTCCCTCTGATGACACTGGGGACAGGAGATGCCCATCCCTGCTCTGGCCCCACCCAGGGCAGCATGGTCCTGCTGTTCCATCCCATCGTGTCCCATCCCATCCCATCCCACCCCATTCTAATCTGTTCCATCCCATTGAACCCATCCCACCCCATTCTAATCCATTCCATCCCATCCCATCCCATCCTGTCCCACCCCATTTTAATCCATCCCATCCCACCCCATTCCACCCAGCGTGGGAGCCCTTGGCCATGCAAGATGATGCTGTAGGTCATGTCAGGAGATGGACATGGTGACCCCAAAGTGACGGCACAGCCGAGGATTCCCCAGTGGAGACCCCACTCAAGCTCTGCTGGGCTTTACCACCAACTTCCCAGCTCTGGTGGCCAGGCTGGAGCTCTCCCATCAGATCCCAACCCCTGGCCTACCTTTGCCCTTCCAGTGGGCGTGAGCGGCGAAGCCGATGTGTCCCCCGTACTTGCGGTTGAACTCGGCCATCAGGGCCTTGTAGGGGTTCCTGATGAGCAGGATGGCAGAGTCGAAGGACTCGATCTCCTTCTGGCCACTCTCGTGGGTCTTGATGCAAATCGTCCTCCCGCTGCGCCAGTGGTCCCGCTCGCCCTTGAATCCTGCCGGGACAGAGCCCAGTGGGAATAATAAAAGGGAGCTGGGAGGGCTCAGCCTGGACAAAAGGAGGCTCAGGGGGGACCTTGTTGCTCTCCACAGCTCCCTGGGAGGAGGGTGGAGCCAGGTGGGAGTCGTTCTCTTCTCCCAGGTAACAAGCGATAGGACAAGAGGAAACAGCCCCAAGTTGTGCCAGGGGAGGCTCAGGTTGGATATTAGGAAAAATTCCTTCATGGAAAGGGATGTCCAGCCCTTCACAGGCTGCCCAGGGCAGTGATGGTGTCACCATCCCTGGAGGGATTTAAAAGCCATGTGGATGTGGCACCTGGGGACATGGGTTAGTGCTGGGGGAATAGTTGGACTCGATGATCTCAAGTCCTCTCCAACCCAAACGATCCCAGGATTCTCTGAAAGGGAACGACTCAGAGATATCAGGTTGCAAAGTACAGTTGGATAAAAGCAGCTGGGGCGTGAAGGAGGATTTACATCCCTCTCCCAGATGGAAATCATTCATTTGCCCAAGTTATGAGTCACATAAAATTCATGAGAGGGTGGGTACCAGCACAGGGGCCGCTCAGAGCTGCATCTCCCCAGCCATGCTCAGCTCTCGTGCTTGTTTTGGGGGGGTCGAGAACATATTTTCCCTGATCACAGCGTTTAAACTCTCCCATTAAACTAAGAAGGGGGAAAACCCCCCTTTTTGTGGGGTTGTGGAGGAGCCCAGGGCTGTGGTGATGCCATGAGGGGTCCAGAGAGGGGACCACCACCCCCTGTGCCCTGCATGGAGCATCAGGGCTGAGTCCAGCATCCCTCCCAATCCTTGCAAAGCACAACCACCTGGAGCAGAGCCAAGGGGGAGATGAGCTGGAAGGAGCTGTATGACATCAATTATAGAAGTGTAATTTGCTCTGGGCCGTGCCGGGCGACGCGGGGCTGTGCTGGTTGACCTGCCAGTTGCCTGGATACCTCCTGGCCCCTCTGACACGGAATTAACACATAACCTACGCTTGGGTGGGTGAGCAAAACCCAGCCAAGGCTTTTTCCCAGGGTTGCTCCGCTCCCTGAGATGTGGCTGCACCCAGGACTGAATGCCAGGGGCTGGAACAGTCTGCGCTCCCTCAATCAGGGATGAGTATTTCCATCTCTGGAAGGCTGGGTTTGGCAAATTCAAAGGAATTCCTGTGGTGTTGGGCAAACAGAGGTTCAGGGGGTACCCCATCAGCTCTGTGAGTACCCCAGGCACAGATCCCAGCTTCACCACAGCCAAGGAGGAGCAGAGCATTTCCTCTCAAAGGTGCAGGAAGGGGAGGAGGAGCGGGAGAAATCTTCAAGGTCCACAAATAAAACTGTTGTAAAAGGCTATAAAATGGGGGAACTGGTGTTTTTTCTTCCCCTTGCAATGAAGTGGGTTATCACAACCCCAGAATCCCAAAATGGTTTGGGTTGGAAGGAACCTTACAGTTTTCATTCCAACCCTCTTGGAAAGGAACATCTTCCACTAGACCAGGTTGCTCCAAGCCCCGTCCAACCTGGCCTGGAACACTTCCAGGGATGGGGCAGCCACAGCTTCTCTGGGCAACTCTTGCCAGGGTCTCACCACCCTCGCAATTTCCTCCTAATATCTGACCAGGACACCCTCAGTCCAACCATCCCATGGAGCAGCATCGCTCACACCCTTCCTGCAGACCCACGGGATGTCACCAGGACCTTTCCCAGCTCAGATGGGACTGGTGCACTCCCAGCAATGACACACCCCCCCTCACCTTTGTTATAGAGAGACCCATCAAAGTAGTAGCTGCCGGTGTAGAAGCCGGTGGCCAACTCGATCAGGTGCCGTGCCCAGGTGTTGCCAGCTCCAGGGAAGCTGGCCAGGGCCACCAGCTGCTTGGCTCGGCTGGGGAGAAACCTCCTGTCCATGCAACGGTTGTCTGCAGTGAGAATCAGTCATGGCACATCAGGAATGTGTCATGGAAATATGGTTTTCCTATAGGGACGTCCCACTGCCTCCCGGGAGGATGGAGGGGCAGCAGTGAGGAGGCGGATGCTACAAGGAAAGGCGCCCTGCCCAAAGCACACAGGGACATCCCTAAAGGTCCTGAACACCTCAAGGAGTCCTAAACGCCCCAAAAAGTCCCAAGGAGAAGATAGTTCTCTGCCATTACCAGCTCCTTGCTGCCTGCATCCTTAGAGAAGAGTGAGTAACAGGGATGCGTGTGCCTAGCAACGTTCCTGCTTTTTATATGGATGAATGAACAAACATTTCCAGCATGGCCTCAAACACTGAAGGCGGGATCGTGACAAGACTGACTTGCTCTGAACCAAAACCACCTGAATTTGGGTCCTCACTTGCTCCCTTCAGCCCTTTCCTCTCCCAGTAAAAGTTTTCCCCTTTCCCTGTGCTTCCCTGTCTCCATGGTCCCAGTGCCAGAGGACAGGAGCCCTCTCTGCAGCATCCTGGGGAATTTCTGCCTGGTTACAGTTTTTCCCCCCCCCATATTATTCCCTGGAGCTCATCCCCTCTGGATGGTGAACCCTCTGTGGATTCACCAGCCGGTGCCCAGGAGGTGGGAAAAGCCCTGGCAAGGAGGGATCCTGCCAGAGGCAGATGGAAAACTGCTCTTCCCTGCAGCTGAGTCAGGCAGTAACTACAGCTGTTTGTTCAGGGGAGGACCAATTTCCCAGGAAATTCAAAGAAATGCTAATTTTTAATGGAAGATGCTGCGAGCTCACACTCGCTTTCCTCCAGCATTCTCAGGAAGGGAGTGGGAAAAGGGTGCTGGAGTGGTCCCTGCCTGTCCCAGCTCACCTTGCACCTGGGTCTGGTAGACCAGGAGGAAGTCGGCGGTGCCGCAGCTCTCGAACTCCTCCCCAGGGCACTTCTGGGCACAGAGCTGCTCGTCCTCGCGCTCGTGCAGCGGGAACAGCGTCGTGGGGAATCCACAGTGGCACGAGGTCCCTGCCAGGGCTGACAGCGGGTATTCCTGCAGGGATGGGCACATGGAGGGCAGCCAGTGGCACTGCCCCTGTTCCCCGTGGCAGATCCTTCCTCTGCCCCCCATACCTGTCCTCGCTGTCCTGGTCCCACTGTGCAGTGTGGGCTGGTTTGCAGCATCATTCCAGTCTCCTTCCAGGCCATTCCAGCATCCTTCCAGCATCATTCCAGGCCATTCCAGCATCCTTCCAGGCCACTCCAGCATCATTCCACCACCCTTCCAGCATCATTCCAGCACATTCCATCATCCTTCAAGCATCATTCCAGCATCCTTCCAGCACCCTTCCAGCATCATTCCAGCACCCTTACAGCCCATTCCACTGTCCTTCAAGCCCATTCCAGAACCCTTCAACTGTCATTCCAGCACCCTTCAATCATTATTCCAGCACCCTTCAAGCATCATTTCAGCATCCTTCTAGCTCACTCCAGCCCTTTCCAGCACTCTTTCAACATCCTTCCAGCATCTTTGCCCCAGTACCTTCTCAGTGCAGAAGTCCACACACTTGTCCACAGACATGTTGAGCATGAGCTGGCTGGCGGGCAGGGCGATGGACACGTTGTCCGGCCGGCGGAAGCACCCCCGGAATATGGCACTGCCATCTGCGAGGGAAAGAGGCCACAGTGACCCTGGCACCACTGCCCCCTCAAAATGACACCACTGCACCCCAAAAATGACATCACTGCACTCCAAAATGGCACCGCTGCCACCCTGTGTGCCCCAGGCTCGGGAGCAGGAGCCTCTGCGTGACACAGCATTCCCGTCTCCCGCCGCTCCATCGGCTTTTCCCCGGCTCCCGGCCCCCTCCGGCGGTGCAGCCGCGTTGGCTGACGCGCTCGCCCGGCTGCTTACGGTGCAAAATCAGAGCAAAACCCCGGCAGCAAAGTCGGGTTTATTTTTGCTTCGCTATTTTTATCAACTCGGTGATCCCGGGCTGCAGGAGGGGTGGAAACAGCGAGAACTGCAGGACTGGGGCTGGGCTGGTCCCTCCGGGATCCGTGCCCTGAGGGGTCCCATCCCACCACTCCCGGTACCTGGGCAACCTCAGCCCCACTGCGGATTCCTGGTGATGGGAGCTCTAATTGCTCCACCCTCTTTCCCACTGTTTGGGAATGAGGAAAGACAAGCAGCAAATGTGGGTAATTATAGAGCTGCCTAATTGGGAGCTAAACGAGCTACTCTGACAGGGAGCACCCTCGTCTCTGTCTAGAGCTCCCGCACATCCTTCATCCCGCAGCACACACTGAATGCACTGATGGTCAGGAAAGAGATCGTGTCCTGAAGTCCCCCAAAATGCCCTGAATTTCCACTGGGGTCCTTGGGGTTCCCTGTTCCAACCTGCCCCATCCAGCAGCGTTCCTCACAGGGGGATTCCTGTGGTTTGCAGGAGCAAAACTACCCCCCCGCCCCCAGACCTGAACCTCTCTCAAACCACTTGTACCAAGCCATGACCCAGCTTACACGGCACAGGGATGTCAGGGTCACCCCTCCAGCACTGCGAGGGGTTCCCCCATTCCAGGGCTGAGCCAGGAGCTGTGTGGATGCCGCTGACTTACATCTCCTGGCGGATTCCTGGGCCAGCTCCAGGCGGTAGATGGAGAGGCGGTTGATCCCACCACAGGTGTTGCTCCGCTCCCCCTTGCACTCCATGTTACACTCGGACTCGCTGGCGTTCGACGCCTGGATCTTGTGCCCACAGTAGCACTCGGCGCCAAATTCCAGTCCCGCATAGAGGTACCCCCTGTGGAGAGGGAGATGGGGGGCTCAGACATTCCTGGGATAACCCCTGTGGAGAGGGGGACAGGGGACTCCCTGGGGATTTTGAAGGAGCATCTGTGCCACAGCCTGCTCATGGCCAGTGCTGGAAGCAGCGCTGCATCCCAAGGGTTCATTTTTGGGCTAGTGATTATTGTAGGGCCCTTCCAATTGAAAATATCCTATCCTATCCTATCCTATCCTATCCTATCCTGTTATTCAGTCCTATCATATCTTATTCCAATCCATCCTATCCTATCTTATCATTGCATTGCATTCTGTGTGCCGGGAATGACAGAGATGGTGTACAAGGATTCATGGAGATGGTGTGCAGGGATTGACAGAGATGTTGTGCAGGGATTGACAGAGATGTTGTGCAGGGATTGATGGACGTGTTGTGTAGGGATTCATGGAGAAGGTGTGCAGGGATTCCTGGAGACACAGTGCCCTGCCCTACCGCTCGGCACAGTTGTCCTGGCAACGGAAGACTGTCATCTTCTTGTAGTCGAAGAAGGACATCCCACGCAGGGTCCGCTGGCGAGTGTTGTCCACGTAGCAGCCGATGTATCGCGCTGGGGGTGGAGAGAGGAGAGGGGGGTAAGAACCCACTGGGGCTGAGCCCACCCATTCCCACCTCCTCTTGATTATTCCCTAAATAGGGATGTGCCGCATTGTACCCTGTTTGTTTGCTTTGGAAACACGTGCTCTGGGTACAACAAACAGAGAAAGGTGTCTAATGCCCAGGAACACCCTCATGGATAGAAGGAGTCCTGTGGCTCTGCACTGAGGGTTCTCCTCTTCCTCCTTTTCCTCCACATTAGCCTCCAAGCTGAGCAAAGCTGCTCCAAAAGATGAGCTACATAGGAAAATAACCCACCCCCTTCACCCTGCCCTGCTGGGAGCACAGGGCTGGGCAGACTGGAGAAATATCATTTAACACACATTTTCCTCAGCCAGCGGCTCATTTTCCCCGGCCCCAGCCTGGGAGCAGAGGATGTTTGTCCAGCACTGACACTTGGCAAAGTAAAGGCTGATGCCTGTGCTGAGAGTAAATGAAGATGCCAGGAGAGAGGGAATACAACTGAATGAAGTCACACTAAAATCATTTACTTGACAAATGTAGCCTTTCCCAATAACCTGAGCACAAAGAGCCATCTCCTGCGTGCCTGCGGTGACATTCCGTGCCGGCTGTAGGCTCTCGTTAGGAGTGAGATGGTCCACGAGCTGTCCCTGCTCAGCCTCCTCATTAGGTGCCCTCATTAGCACCCTCGTTAGTGCCCTGCTCCTGCTCCCACCCGAGTGTTTGCTGTGAGGAGATGCCTTAGATCAATGCAGGGATGTGGAGCTGGACCAGGGATGCTCAGCGTCCTCACTGCCACTGCTGCTCCAGGAGAATGGGGTATGGGAGCTGTGGGACGAGCCATCAGTAATCAGCTAATGAGGTGTCCATTAACATGTTCTGGCAGAGGCTGTTCAGCCAGACACCCAGTGGGTGTTCCAGGGAGAGGGGAGGGCAGCACTTGGGACCAGTGCCTGGGTCTTACTGGCCCAGCAGTGATGGCAGAACTGGTGTGGAAGCCCAAACCAGTCCGGTTCACCTCACTCCCTGTTCCAGGTGTGCAACCTCAGTGAATATAACAGCAATAATTCACTTTTTATTCCACTATCCCAGATTGCTCCAAGCCCCATCCAACCTGGCCTTGGACACTTCCAGGGATGGGGCAGCTACAGCTTCTCTGGACAACCTGTGCCAGGGCCTCACCACCCTCACAGGGAATTATTTGTTCCATATATCTAATCTGTGCCACTCCAATTCGAAACCACACTGTGGGATAATACTTTTCACCCCTTCCCTGCATTCCACATCTGACCCAGCTCACCAAGCACACCCCATCCATGGCGTGCCCCACACAGGCCCCCCCATTCCCCACCAGTGCTGCAATAGCCTTCCCAAGCCAGCCTGGGGGAAGGGGGAGGAGAAAGACAGAGAGAAATGTGTCTGATAACTTTAACCACCAGGGCCATAACTCACTGCTCCCAATTACTCCCAGCAGAACGTGGCATTTCCTCAGGGCTGGGCAGGTTTTGGCTGGTCAGTGCATTCCAGCCCTGACGGATCCAGCGGGGACAGGATTTCTCCAGTCACTTGCACCGAGCTGGTGACTGATGTGCATTACCTTCAATCCATTGCTCTTGACATATGTGTGCTGTTACTTATTGGGAAGCCAACTGGAATAATTAGGGACATAAGAGGGCAGAAGTGAAGGGGTTGATGCTGAGAGGCGGGCGGTGGGTTCAGCACAGCTTGCAAGGAGAGGGGGGGCTGCCCCAGCACGCGGCTCACATGGAATCAGGAAGAATTTTGGAGCACGTTGGAAATAAGGGTGTGAACAGACAGATCAACACAGCAATTGTCATTAAATTCTCCAAACATCCCACTCTTCCAGGAGCTAGGGATATAGGGATGGCTCTGGCTGCGTGCCTGGAGTGTCTGCTCCTAACCCTTTCCTCATGGCATTGCTTGGTTGTGTGTCATAGCTGGGAATGGCTGGAAATGTCCAGTAAAAGACAGGGATGGATGTGGCTGAGGGCTGGGGACAGTGCCTGCTTCCCCTGCCTCACTGCCTCGAAATTCTCCCGGGTTTGAGGCAGGAGATGCACATTCCCACAGGGATGCTCCTTCCCATGGGGAAGCAGATGAGCTGAAGCCATTCCCTGGCAGGCCTGATGCTGCCGGCAGAGGGAGGAGGAGGAAGAGGAGGAGGAGGAGGAGGAGGAGGAGGAGGAGGAAGGGAGCCGCACAACACACTCAGGAAAGCAGAGCTGACTTTCGGAGCCGTATTCCCTCTGGAACAATCTCACGTGGCAGAGCTTCCACAGCCGCCTTGTTAAGCTGTCCCCTGCCTAATTACCAGCACCATTAAATCCGCCTGCTCCTGCCAGATATCCCGGTGCTTTGGAGAAGAGCAGGGGAGCGAGGGGATGCTCAGCCCATCCCCTGAGGCTCTCCCAGCCCTGCTGGCACACCAGGCACAGCGGGCACGGGCACGTGGGATTTCTCAAGTTGGAGAATTTCTCCACACCATCCTGCTCGGGAGCTGCCGAGATGCTCATGGAGTGATTAAAAAGGGGGAAATGATGTTTCTAGACCACATGGGAGCAGCTAAACCCGTTGAAGCTCAGCCCTGCATCCTGTCACTGTCCCTTGTTGTCGGGCACAGGAGGTGGCGGTGCCAGACGGGGTTAATTGTGGAGGACACGGTGCATATGGCCTGGACTGGAGCCTGCTTGGGGTCCTTATGGTGTCTGACAGCTCAGGGACCATCTGCTTGGGATTCACTAAATGTCAATTTGCATTAAGAGCGATGTGACCACTGAAATGCCCCCGGAGACCCCTTGACACAGGGATACAAAAGGGGAACCATCTTCAGCTCGTTTTAGCAGGAGAAAGTCCTGTAAGCACCTCAAGACGTTTTTACTTTGGTTTCCAAGCCTGGATCATGCATGGAGGACTTTACCTGCTGTGGGGCTGGTGGCTGAGGAGGAGCACCTCATGCCCTGGGATCAGCCCAGGTTGGGGGGGACCAAGCCTGGACCCTTGTGAAACCACGGGGTTGGGGGTTCCTGCTTCCCTCCATCCACACCTCCTGCCCCATCAACAGTCCAGAAAGCTGAATCTCCCAGCCTGGGATGCTCAGAGAATTGTAAGTGCCCAGCCCATGAGGCAACTCTGGAGCAACTCTGGGGTGTGGACTGGTGCAACCATTACAGGAATTAGGGGTCCCCATGGATATGCATTCCCACACCCTGGACCTTGGGAGAGGGGAATGAGCAGCCACAGGCAGAGATGGTCCTTCCCCAGTGGGGCTGCAGAGCAGAGAGGGGACAACAGGGGGTCTTTGGGTGACTGGCACTGGGTGCTCATGGGTGCCAGAGGGCTGGATAACCTCAGGGATGCCAAACCTGACAGGATGGCAGCTCCCAGCCACCCGAATTCCATGGGAGTGTACAGCTCCAGCTGTGTACGGCTGCCTGCAGGATAAATAGATGGCATTTTAAAAATCGATGGGAACGACTACATTCGCTTATCCTTGGTCATTAATAATGGACCCACTTGACAACACCTCAGACACCACAGGCAGCAGCCAGGCAGGGATCTCCTGACTCCAGAGTCCAAATCCCAGCCCTGTTTGCACTTCCACGCCTGCATGGGAATCACAGCCAACCTCTGCCTTGACACCCCAACAGTGCAAATAGCCCATAAATCTGGGGTTTGTGTTCATTAGAGCCAATACAATGAAAATCAAATTTGGCCTCTGGCACAGCCAAAGATGGGAGGAAGGTGGGGTGAAGCACCCCCTCAGCTGGCACCCCCAAAAAGCAAGGGGCAACTTGGAGCTTGGTAATGCACAAGGGGGAAAGAGTGAAGATGGAAAAATAAAAGTGGATTATTGGCACTTAGGAAGAGAGGGAAGGAGGAAGAAGATCCTTCTGGAAACATCCTCTGGACTGGTGGTCTCCAAAGTGAGATGCTGCACCCCAGGGAGTCCCTTGGGATGTGGGGAGAAAACCTCAGCGCTCGAGTAGCACATGCACATAGTTTATAAATAAATACACAATTCCTGGTGGTGCGTCCTCAGGAATGTGTTCCTGGCAGGCATACACAGCCAAACCAGCTCAGTGACCATTGCCCCGGCTCATAATGTTCCCTTAGGAAAGGCAAAAAGAAGGGACCACCCCCCCCAACACGTGTGTCCCCAGCCCTTACCTCTGTCCTCCTCCTTCTCGCGGCCGCTCCTGCCCCTGAGTGCCCGGCTCCGGGTGCCGCCGTTGTCCCTGGCTTTTCCCCTCTCCGCCGGTTCCTTGGAGGTGCTTTTGAACCAGGGGCCGTGTCGCCGGACCCTCCCCGGGATCGTGGCCGCTGCCCTGAAGCCGCGGCTCAGCTGCATCACCCCCAGGTAGGGCAGCCCCGGCCCCTCGCCCCCCGCGGGGCTGCGGGGGCTCCCCGGGACCGTGGGCTCCCCGGAAAAGCCGGAGTGCAGGAAAACCAAGCTGCCGGCCGCCAGGTACAGAGCCAGCAGCGTGAAGAACCGCACGGGTTTCCGCCGAAAGTACCGCTGGAGTTTTACTAATAGCTTGGCCATAGCGTCTTCATCCCTCCCCCGGCAGCCGGCGCCGCGGGGAAGCTGCTCTTCGGCCCCAGGGACGCTCCAAGGGGGGCTTCACCCCCTCTGGATTGGTGCTGGATCCTAGGGAGCAGATGGGTGCCCCGAAATCACAGTGAGGGCTGCAGGGTGAGGCCGTGCAAAGCTACTGCCCGAGTCTAAAAAGTCCTGGAGTGCTGGGAAAGGTGGATTTTGAGCCCCCTCGTCGTGCCCGGGGCTTTTCCAGCGCTGGCTGTCACCGGGTTATTCTTCTCCCGGCAAAGCCCCCCGGCTGTGCCTCGGAGACTGGGCCGATGGAGGGATCATGTTGAGGAAATCGAGGTTTGAAGGTGATTTGAAAGCCGATCGGTTGCCGCAGCTTCTCGCTCGCCGGAGGCACCGGCTCCGTCAGGCATCGCTCTAATGGGAACGGCACCGCTGCCCTTTCAGACAAAGAATGAAAAGTCCCTGGACGCGTCTGGAGCCTGGAATGCTGACTGGGACCCTTTGTCTAAGGGAGCCCCATTCAGCTCACTCCCAGGGCAAGAAATCTCCACCTGCAAGTCAAACAGAGAGAGGCACACTCAGGAAAGTGTCCCAGGACACGGGGAGGATGGTGGTCCCTCCCCCTCTGTGGGGTGAGGAAGGACACCCAGGCTCTCCATTGCCTTCCAGCCCTGGAAAGGGGCATTTCCACTTCCCCCAGACAGGTAACTGGGTGCAGTGGGAGCGATGCTGGTGGGTACAGGGGTGTGGGGTTGAACTCAAACCACAGAGCCCACAGGTCTCTGCCTCGTTGTGCAGGAGAGGAGCTACAGGACAGCTCTGGGACATGTGCAGAATTCCCATTTTCACCCACAGGAGGATGAGCTCTGCACCCAGACTCACGCACATGCACATTTCACCCCTAGATCCAAACATCTCTTCACCACCACTCCAAGTGAAATCCATGGATGGACAACAGGGTAGGAGGATGCTGCCAGTGGATTCTCTGGCACCTGGCATCCCGGGGCTGGGAGATCCCATGGGAGCATGACATCCATGTGTGACTCTCCCTGTGCCTGTGTTTCAGCCCCTCATGCCCCTAGTGAGGCTTTTGCCATGACATTCTCTATCCAGCCAGGACCATCTCCATTCCCACCCTGCCAGCTGGGGTGGACCCTCCACTGCCCTGGGAACACCAGGGCTATCCAGGGCCATCCCTGGTGGCTCTTGGCACAGGAAGGACAGGCAAGCCCAGGGAAGGGACAATCTCCTCCAGCCCAGCAAGGCTGGACTTCCCTCTTGGGAATCCTCATGGGATTTCTCCAGCTATGAGATTCCTATGTATTTTTCCCCCACCTATGGAAAATTTGCTCCATTCCTTCCTGGGATAACACTACATGGGAAACGGCAGTGCCACCACATCCTGCTGACACATCAGTGTGCCAGGGATGGTCTCATGCCCAGGGTGTGCTGCCTGTCACGGTCTCATCTTATTTTAGGAAAGGAGACGGAAATAAATGGAAAGACAAAGTACCATTAGTTTAATGGCCTCCGTGTTCCTGCCATCTGTCTTCAGTTGATTAAATAAAAAATATTGGTGGAACATATGGCATGAATTATACATCAATATTTTAATCTGGGTTCCCACAGTGGTTATTCAAATACCTCTGGTTCTGCCTGGTGAACTCGGTGGAGCTCAGGGCCAGGCAGGGGCTGAGCAGTGGTGGGCACAAACCCACACCACCCGCTCCCTTGGAGCCAACACGGCCTGAGTAAAGGCTGAGGAAACTCAGAGCAGCAGCCCAGCAAGGAGATTGGCATTTGGGCTTTTCCATGTGTAGGCACCTCTGCGCAGGACACAGGAACAGGTGGTACCTTGACATGGGCAGGGAGGGTGGTCCAGCCCCACCACAGAGGGCAAACATCCCCAGCCCAGTGGTCCAGCGGACCTGAGGGTGCTTGGCCCTGGACAGGAATCTTACAGCTTCCCCTTCCATGCCAGAACAAACCCACCTGCTGGAGCTGAACATGAGGTGGTTTGGGGTGCAAACAGGATGTCTGGGGGGTTGTCCCCACTCCCCAGTGTTCCCACTGCCACCCACCCTCCTCCCCTCCCAGGCTGGAGCCTGCCAGGCTCGGCAAGGAAGAGCAGCATATAAAGAAGGAGCTTAAATGACTCTCCTTAAGCATCTGGAGCTCATCCTTCTCCATCATGAACCGTGGAGTCGCAGGTCAATTACTGCACATTTGCATATATTCCATTAATGCTCCTGCTAATTGTCTGTGGGAGATAATGGGCTTGGCTCCGACTCTTCGGCTGCCTCACAGGCAGTGAGGGTGGCAAATACAGCCGGCACCAGTGCTCCCAGTATCACCATCAACACTCCCAGTGTCAGCACCAGCACTCCCCAGATTGGCACCAGTGCTCCCAGTATCAGCATCAGTGTTCCCAGTATCGGCACTGATGCTCCCAGTATCAACAACAGTGCTCCCAGTATCGGCACCAGCAGTCCCAGTATCGTCATGAACGCTCCCAATATTGGCACTAACACTCCCAGTGTCAGCAACAGTGCTCCCAGTATGGGCACCAGCGCTCCCAATATCAGTGTTAATGCTCCCAGGGTCATCATCAATGCTCCCAGTATCAGCACCAACGCTCCCAATATCAGCACCAATGCTCCCAGTACTGGCATCAGTCCCAGAAGGGGCTGGGCATACTGGGAGCTGATGGATGTGGATGCTGGAAGCTCCCCACAACACCACTCCCTGCCTCCCACCTGCGCTCCCCGTGTTGTAGGGATGGATCCATCCCTGAGTGCAGCAGCTTTGGTGTGAAGGACCAGCCACTCTGGGTCCCACTGCCTGCATCCCACTCAGGCTGTGTTCAGGAGCAGCGCTGGTGCCAGCCCAGCCCGTGGCATGGCTGGGGGACAGTGGTGACACACTTTGACATCCAAACTAATGAAGCAAACGGGGACATTCCTGAGCCAGCGCAGCGCAATGTCCTCAGCATGGCCTTCCGTCAGCTGCTGCAAAGGCTGTCTGGAAAACTGCTGGGACAGCCAGGCCAGGGAGGGATTTATTCCCAAGCCCTCGCTTGGTTGTGACCCTCTGTCCCTGTCACGGGGCTCTGGTTGGATCCCATGGGATCGATCCAGCCCCAGGGAGCTGTGTGGCTGGAAAAATCTCCCAGCTGGCAGTGCCAGGATTGGGGTGTCCCTCCCAGCTGCCCCAGACCCCCTTGGCACCCAGAACCAAAGCACAGCAGAGCTGAGGGTGAACACTTCCCCGGGCAGTGGGTCCAGCCGGGATGAGGGGCTGCTTCCTCACTGACCCCCATCACCACACCTGCCAAGAGCTGGAACCCTCATCCCAGCAGTGGGATAAAGAGCTGAGCATTGCTCCACACCCCAATCCTCATCCCAGCAGTGGGATGCCCAGTTCAGCATCACTCCACACCCCAATCCTCATCCCAGCAGTGAGATACCAGACTGAGCATCGCTCCACACCCAACCCACCTCCCTCTGCGGTGTCAGCAGTCCTGAGGCCAAGGAGGCAAGGAAATCCTCATGGATTTTCCAGGTTTATCCATCCCTCCCATGCACAAGGAGGTGGGTACAGGTCCAGGGGGGCTCTGATGAGTGAGGGAGCGTCTCTGCCACTGCGAGTGACTGGGATGAGTGAGGCACCAATAAATTATACATTTAGGTCTTGTCTTCAAATTGCTCTGCAATTACTGGGCACCAAGGTTCAGTTGTCTTCAAGCACCACCTCACATCTGACCACGGCCAAACTCGCCGCCGGCTCACGTGGTTCCCCCAGGGCAGGAGAACAATCAGCCCATTAAAAACAGCAAATTAACCAACACAAGAATTCCATTAGAAGGAGAAGGCGATGGAACTATCCAATTTCATCACATCATTAGCATTTCTTATCAGAGGGACAAGGAAAGAATAGGGCTTTAAAACACAGGGGGATGGGATGGAGTCTGATGACAACAATGGGGGCCCCTGTCCCAGGGGAAGGCTGTGACGCAGGTACCAACCTCAGTCCCACACCTCAGGGAGTGGAGGGAGAAGGGTCCTGCACTCAGCTGAGCATCTTTGAGTGCACAGCACAGTACCCCCCCAAAATTCTTCAGCTGAGACCTGGAAATGGGATGATGTGAAGACCCAGAGCATGGGGGTGCAAGGACCAGTTCATGGGATACAGGACCCAGTCCATGGGATATAGGACCTAGTCCACAGGGCTTGCCTTGACCTGCTGTCACCCAAAAGCCACCCACTTTGGTGCAGGGACCACCAGAAAGCCCCACGTCCCTCCATCTCCACCCTCAGTTCCACAACACAGAGCAGCTCCTATGGCCTCACACCCTTGTGCCTCCCTGGTGTGACGGCACCAACCAGTAACACCAGTATGAAACCCCAGGGACACTGGGCACCTTGTGCTGGCATCCCTGAAGCCTTTCAGCCTCCCTCCCTAGGACTGCCCTGCAGTGGGAGCTTGGAATTGCTGCTGGGCAGAAACTGGGCAGCTCGAGCTCCCAGACGAAGCTGCCGTCGTCTACTCCAACCCCATGGAAATGGATTTTCACCCTTTCTCACTCTCTAAAGCAGCAAATGAGATGCATCAGGCAGAATTTAACTACTCTTTAAATTTAAATATGTTATGGCTGGGAATGAAACCATTGGACATGGAGGTTTCCACTGCAGCAGGGAACACCTGGACCATCTGAGGCATCTCCCTTGGAGCCTCCAGCACTCTCCGATGCCTCTGCCAGGGCCAGTAGAGCACATTGAGCTTTTCAATCAAAGCAAAATTTATTTATTCAGCTCCTCTCTGCCTTAATTTTGCTGAGAAATGGGTTTGTGCATCCCCTCTGCCGGGGAAAGGCTTAAGAACAGTTGACTCAGCAGCTTTCGGATGTCACGGCTCATCCCAAGTTGCTGCGCTGGGATCAGATCCTGTTCCTCGGCAGTGAGACATCCCCAGGCATGTGCTTCCCTGTGGAGCTTCTAAATCCCTTCCATAGGCCAAACCACCAAGGAAAACCCTCTTATTTGGGACTTTCTGGCCTGATTTGTAAATCCAGGGCAGGACTTGCCTATCTGTTAATGGATTTTTGTGCAGGATTTCCAAGCATGTTGGGGGGTTTGTAAATCTTCCTCCTTGCTGGGAATCCATGGAAGGGTTTGGACTGGAATTAGGTGGCTGATTTTCATTTATAGGCAAAACCTGATTTTTAAATATTCTGCAGAAGATTTATTGAAGGTCTCAGCACTTACCCAGGGCCAGGGAAAGCCATGGTCACAAGTCCAGATGGGAATGAGGCTCCAGCTCTGGAGAGAAATCACAGATCATTCATCCAGAGGGACAGGGCTGCCCCAGACTAATTGATTAATGGCTGCAAAAGGCCTGGAGCTCCTCAGAAATGAGGTCGTGCTGATTGCACAACCTTCTATTCGTGCTGCCTCCGCTCTCCAGGGGATGGAACCCACAGGGCACCAGCCCCGTTTCTGCAAGGGCTGAGTTATAAATAAATCCAGGACCATGGGGCTGGATCCTGCCCTGGGTTATTCCAGCGCACCGAGGTGACTGGACAGTGCTGCACAAGCCCAGGGCCTGCAGCACATCCCAGAGGGGCAATTTTGTTTAATCAAGCTGATTTAAGCAACTTCAACTCCATCTTTAAACATGGCATTGAGCTGGCGTTGCAAATTCCCACAGGTATCCCAGACCCCAGCCCAAGGGATGCTGAGCCCTACAGAAAGGATGCTGATTCCTGCCAAAGGGATGCTCATCCCAGACCCCACAGCCATTAGATGACATGGGGTAGGGGATTTACTCAGGGGCAGGTGAGTGGCTCCCAAAACAAATCAAATCCAGGGTGTTTCCAGCCCCTGGAAGCACAGAAATGCTGTTGCCTTCAGGCCACTGATTCCCAGGTAATCCCACCTCCACGACTCTGCTGCTTTCTCTGCGTATTTTGCTCCAAAATGGTCCAAGCAGAGCCAAAAAGGGTGTTCTTTGCTTCACACTCTGTTCCTCCACCTGCAATTCCATCCAAACACGTTCCAGCCTCTTAGAGGCTGAATTCCCCTCACATGTGTGAAAGCAGCTCATAAAGAAAACTAGTTTAAGCCATGAATCATTTAAAAAGCCAAAGGCAGGGAAGGAAATAGCCAAGTATTGCACAGATTTGGTCAGGGAGAGGATATAGGGAGTCATGGAATGATGTAAATTAGCCAGCACAGCAGAGATCCACAGCCCTGGTACCCAGGATCCCCATCCCAGCTGCTGAAAGGCACCCAAATTCACAACATCATTTTCACTTTAATTAATTCATCTGCAACAACTCCAATCGTGTCCGTTATCTGATTCTCTCCATCAGCATTATCCCATCTGCTGGGTTTCTTTTGGAAGAATGTTTGTGGAAGGAGCAGGGAGTTCCTTTGTTTAGTACCAGGGCTGATTGAATTTGGGTGCTGGGAGCAGGATTCCACACTGTTGTCAGCAATAAAAATGAATAATCAGCCCAACCTTCGCCTGCTGCATCCCTGCTGACCCCCAGCATCCCTCCCTGAGCAGCCCTGCTGCCAGCATCCACCCCATTCTCATGTGCAAGGCTGAGAAACCTCCATTTCCCTATGATTTCCCTGTTTTTCCTTTCAAGGCCAGAACAGCAAATCTGCTTGAATGGGGGTGACATATGGTGGTATTTGAGAGAAGTTACCCTGGAGCTAGGGGTCTCAGGGACATAAAACCTGACTCCCTAGTCTCCCTCTCCCCCTTCTTCTCACCCTTGCATGTCCCTTTGGACATTTAAACCCTGTGAAAAAGGTGATTTAATTCACTCAGACGATTCTGAGTGTCTGTGAAAGGGCTTAACCTAATGAGTTTTAATGTGTCTTATGTTCTGGGTATTTTATGCCCAGGCTGCAAAATCCAGTTACGGTTTTCAGTCAGACTTAGTGAGCCGAGCCCTGCATGGGAGGGGGTGTGCTCACATGGGGAGAGGAGGAGGAGGATGGGAGGAAGGCCAGGGCTGTCCCTCAGGGAGACACAGCTGGATCCCAGCCAGCTGCTGGCTCAGCAAAACTCCCCCCAGACTAAGTGCTGCCTCAATTCCGCGGGAGGAGGTTTAGGATCTAAGGGCTGGCCTCTTCCAGAGGTGGTGCCAGGACTGGCAGCCATCCCTGGAGGATGCTCATCATTCCCAAATTCTCTGGTCACTCCATTATTGGCACTCACGGACACCTGCACCATCCCTGTGACAGTGGCAGAGCAGCCCTGAGCTGCAGCCGCCGGCACATCCAGAGCCTGACAGCTCCTTGTTCCAGGGAAAGCCACGACGCTGCTGTTTTTCTCCTTGTGCTTAATGATGAGGAACAAACCCCGTAGCCAAACCAGAGCAGCCGAGTGGTTTTCTCCCCAGGTTTTGAGCACCGGAGCCACTCCTGGCTCTGGGATTCGGAAAGGTGATGAGATGCATCAAAAGGATATCTCCCAAAGGGAAATCCAGGTGCACCCCACCAGCAGCACCTACAAGACCACCCCTTGTGGTATTTATAGCAGCACAAATCCCACAGAGACCATGATGGGATCCATGGGGACATCACTGGGGAGCTGGGAAATGTGACCCCCCCATGGGGCTCAGCTCCACCGAAACATCTTCCACGGGCGCTGCAGGAGCACCCACCACATTCAGTCCATGATGAACCCCCCAAGGACCCCCTGGGTGGGGCAGAACCAAACCAAATCTGCCTGCAAAGCCCACACTCAGGTCTCCTCCATGGAGATTTCCCTCAGCCCTCATTAATCCAGGATTAGAGGCAGCTCTGGGGCAATTAACAAACGAGCTTTTCAGGCAGCAGACAATGCCTTCGCAGCCCATTAATAGAGTGAGAAGGATGATTTCTTGCAGCCCTTGCTTTAAAACCTCCTTTCCCAGGAGGGCTGATTCCTTTCTTTTCCTGCATCCTGCTGCATGGAAGAGATGGAAGGCCCAGTTTGGGGAGAGATCTGCCATTCCCACGAGTGCTGCAGGCTCACCCCCGGCTGAGCAGCACAGAGCAGGTTCTCCTGTCCCACACTCCTTCCCTGCTCCCAGGCTGAGCTCCTGGCTCCAGAGGGGGCCAACACACTGTGACAGAGGTACCAAAGCACAGAGATTCCTAGCCCAGAGCAGAACCAGCTCCCTGAACAGCTCAGGGAGACTGAGGATTTGGCAGTCCCAAGAGAGATGGAGATTAGGAGAAGCAAAGATTTTCCTGGGATCTGGACCGAGCTGGGAGAGATGCTGAATGCCCATGGAGGCTGTACCTTGCAGAAGGGGATCCTGCCTCAGCCACGGGAAGTGTGACTCTGGATGGGAGCCTGGAGGTGCTGAGGGGTGGCCCTGGGGACACAGTGGCAACAGAGATTTGGCTCCAGTGAAGTTGGAGTGAACACAGAAAGGAAATCATGGAGAAGGAAACCTCAGAGGACAGCGCTGGGGAGGGAGCATTCCAGGCTGGCTGGAGCCCGTGGGGTGGAGGCCACGGTGAGAGCAAGGGCTGGTGGCACCCAGTCTGCTGCCAGGGCTGGGGAAAAGATCCTCCAGGAAGGACAAACCTTTTATTTCTGGGAGAGGAAAATCACCCACATGCCCCAGCTGGGCTGTGAGGGGACGAGGGCTCCAAGGGAACTTTCCTGTCCCCTGAGCATCAGGGAGCCTAAAACACAGGGAGACCTGGGAACTGCTGTGCTGGACACAGGCACCTGCAGCCCTGATGCTGCAGCTGGACCTGACTCCTTGGGCTCCAGAGTCTGGGAAAGGCATCCAAAAATTCTCTCTGGGCACCCCAGGCCCATGCATGAGCAGCATAACTAATAGTATCTAGAATATTGTAATATAATGTATATAAAACTTATAGTGACTAATATATAGAGTACAATACTATATGTAAAGCCATAATACCTGCTAATAATATAGAGAATATAATATAATGTATATAAACCCCACAATAACTGCTTATAATAATATATAGAATAGAACAATATATAAAAAAGTAATACCTGCAAATAATATATAGATTATAATATAATGTTTATAAAACCCACAATAACTGCTAATAATATATACAATATAACATATATTAAAAAATCTAATAACTACTAACAAACCCCATCTCAGAGGAGCCCCTCGTGCTCAACTGTGTTGGACATTCCAAGGGCCAACTCAGCCAGGAGAGAGCTTCCCCAAGCCCAGGGAAAGGACAGCTCCTTATAAAGGATAACTGGACACAAATCCCCTCAGAGGAGAAGGTTACAACACTCACAGGATGAGAAGGTGCAGGTGGGCCAGGGCCAGGCTGGGTGGGGACACCCTGGGGCTGGGAGCTGCCCCCCTGCCAGGCTGTGATTCCCAGCTCTGGATTGCCAGGAAAGTTTATTTAATCCTGCCTTCACAGAGGAAAGGGTTTATAAGGCTCAGCTCAAGGTTACCTTCACACCACTCTGCAACAGCCTCTGCTCTCCCTGCACATATGGTTTGCTTAACTTTATATTAAAATATTCCCTTAAGTTGCCAGCTTGGATATGGAAAGAAGAAAATGAATAGAAAAGGGGTTTTTGAACAGATTATATTTGCTCTCCATTTCCCTTGCAGAGATATTCCTGCACAAAGTCTCGGGAGGAGGAGGAGGAGGAAGAGGGGAGCTCTCTCCCGCCTCTCTCCAAAGCAAAACCCTCCCGAAACCAGCAGAAAACAGTGAAAAATCCCTGCCGGGATGAGGCGGGAATCATCAGCTCCCTCACATCAGCAGGGGTCTCGGTCCCCCCTCCCCACCTCAACTTCCCACACACGCAGCCGCGATTCCCCTTTCCCACGCACATTCCCGCCTGGCCGGGGTCCCACTGCCCCGGGCTGGGGGCTCCCCCTGCCCCCCCCCCTCGCCCCTTCCCCCCAGTCCCGCCGCTTCGTGTTGCGCTTTTCTCCCTTCTTCTTTTTTTTTTAATCCTTTTTTTTTTTAATCTTTTTTTATTTCCCGGGGTGGGGGTGTTTTTTGGTTCGTCCTCTCTTTTTCTGGTTGTTATTTTGGGTTTTTTTCCCCGCAATTCGCGCGGTTTTACCGCGGTGCCCCCTCCCCGCACCCCAACCCCGAGCTCAGACCCCCCTTTATCCCCACCCTCCACGCCTCCTGCTTACCCTCCGCGGGCCCAGCCCGGCCCGGCCGCCGCCGCTCCATCCGTCCCTCCATCCGTCCATCCCTCCATCCATCCCTCCGTCCCTCCATCCGTCCATCCCTCCATCCATC